TCTTCGATTGGTGCCTGCTGCTATCGCTTGTTGCGACGATTAAGGAGATGGCAACAACAATGAAATCCGAAAACGCACAGAAGAAAGATCCGATCAGTTAGCCGATAATAAACTGAATCATAGACACCAAAATGATATTTACTTGGAAAATCCCAAGGTTCATGCTTATAGAGATCGATTCAGCGGTAATCAGAACATAACTCGACTGGGAGGCGCACTTCAATCTTCAATGTCGTCGTCCCTCGAATCAAAGGCCTTGTCAATATCTTGGAAGGTTGAGATGATAGTTGTTCAAATGAACAGTCGCGGCTTGAAGGCTATATCGGGAAGAGTAGCTAGAGATGAAACGACGCCGACGGGTGCAGAGGTAAGGGCGTAATTAAGGGGAGTGCAAGCGGCAGGGATGGGGTTTCTCCATATTAATTTGTTTAATGGGTTAATTGCATGGTTTGTCACTGAGATTACAAAAAAGTTCATATTTGATCACTACAAATATTTAATTTCGTTCATGGTCATCAGGTTTAGTAAAACAGGCCAAGTTTGGTCACTCTCCGTTAACTTCCGTTAGTCTCCGTTAACGGCGATAGTTTTTTGCTGATGTGGCTAACAGACATGCTGAGTCATTCAATTTTAAACCAAAAAAAAAAAATATAATTGACCTGCCATGTCAGAAACCCACCACGTAACCCTGTTAAATGTTAAATTACTCAACCTTACTAACCAAACCCAAAAATCGAACCGGCTAACTTAAACAATACCCATTAAAAATAAAAATCTTGTAAAAGAACCACAAAGGCTCTCTTCCTATCTCACAATCTGTTCCTCTTCTTCCTCTTTGACCGAAACCAGAATCATCGCCTCTTGTAGTTCCTTTTCTTCCCCTGCAACAGCTTCGACCAGTCCCGAGTATCGCTAGAGGCGGTCGGCGGCAGTCCGCTTCTTATACCCTCTCCCACCTCAGCTACCACGTCAGGAGATCTTCCGCCGTCAACACCACAAACCTCCACAAACCACTCGCCTCAGGTGCTCCCCTATGTTTTTTCCTCCCCTCGATCAAAAACCCCAAAGAAAATAAAATCCAAAAACACACATGCATTTAGAACATCGTGCCGTCGTTGTGAAGTCGGCATAGCCGGGTCTCGGTGATGAAGCGATAAACAAAGGAGATCGCGGTGTCTGTCTCTAAATCCCTCACCGCCGCATCAATCTCCGAATTTCCCTATAAGTCGTCGCTGGTCAAAATCGATCTCCAGATTCCCCCGCTGCTCGAGTCCTGCAATTCGTGGGGCTGCTGTTGTTTCCAATCACTAAGCCGATGAGGTTATTACGAGCCTAGATCTGATGGCGATAGAGGCCCAAAATCATCTTCTCCCTGTTTTCTCGTGGCAAGGCAGAGCTCCTCAAATCCCTCCATCAAAGAGAAGCAGAGAGAGGTGAGAGGCGGCAAGCACCAACTTCGCGATCTGCCTCCGCGATGAAGTTCTTCGTCTGGACTTTCGTTGCCGTCGAATGAATCCGGCGATGAAAGAGGTGGGAGTTGTTGGGAAAATTGTTCACGTATACGATTTTCTTGCAACACAAGCAAACACATAAGATTAAGAAAAACATGCAAAGACACATGCAAGCGTCCTAGCCGATAGAATTCACTATCTCTCCTTAAAGAATCTTATTCCCCTCAAGTACCCAAGGTTGTGGAATGATTCCTCCCAAGATAGAAAGGACGTACCTTTTCCGGTGTATCTGTACCTCAAACCCCGGAAACCATCGAACGTAGCGAAACGGCGAGAACCACACTTGACTCTATTTTCTCTTTGAAAAGAATGCAGAAAAACTAGTTTTGGATTTTTGCAGAGTTTCAGTACCGGGAAAAATCCATGTAAAACTCGTAGTCAAAACAAGAGGGGGTATGGTGCTATTTATAGAAAATGAAGGGATGCATTGAAGGGAGGCAACTCTTCATATGGGTGGTTACACCCCAACCATTGCATTGGTTCGTTTAAAATATTTCAACCATTGCATTGGTTCGGCCTCATGGAAGTTGGACCGGTTTGGTTATTCCAACCGCCACATCGGTTCGGTTCGATTTGGTTCAACTCGGTTTGGTTTGGTCCATTTGGTTACACAAACCAATTTAACCAATTAACCACATATTACATCAAATCGATCGAATTCGAGGCCATGCCTTCCCACATCTTACCAACATGGTACTTCAAGAGACTCTCTTGAAACTTTCCCCTTTTATTTCCATTCACACCACTAAAAATCCCAACAATCCCCCACATGAATGGAGAATGTTGTACTTTAAAAACTATGCAAAAAATTGTGTGATTCTCGACTAAGAATTAGTTGCATCGGAATAGGTAGGTTTCCCTTTGAACCTTCCTTAGTGAACATATATCGAGTATACTCACCAATCGGTAGATGTGATATCTTTGAACCGTCGGTTTTGCTTGTATACTAAGACAACATATGTCACACACCTAACTCTTATCCGTTCACTGGTTCTCATTGTTGTGTTCGTTTCAGCCATGAACACCGCCTGGTTTCATGAGTGCTTAGAGAACTGGCCTTCTTTTATTCTCCTTGAAGCGGCTCCACTTCACACTCACATAGGTGATTTCTAAACATGTATTCCGAAAATACACTATTTGATCACATCCTGTGTCAAACTTAGAAACCATTAAAAACCTTCCATCTTTAGGTTTACCCTTATAGTTGGACATTGTCTCATCATGAGAATGGACTTTGAATAATTTGACAATGTCGGACCATCAATCACAACTTTGTTTTCTCCTTGAACCTAGAGGTTGGGTCTGCCAATCCTGCTTAGGTAGAGTTACCGCCATGATGATTTGTCTTAGGCCACGAGTCCATTCCCTTTGATGCTTTAACAAATTTCTAGGTGGGCCCCACTTTTGTTATCACTTGATCTACATGATCAACTTAGATAACTTCGCTAGAAATTGGCCTTAGTGTTATGTTTCCATTATCAATGACGAGATTTTTCACATAACACTTCTAGCCCTTGCAATAAACGCAAATGCGTTTTATAAACGCCAGTCTTTGCGGGCCAAACTACTCAACTTCACCGGTCTTAGAGTTTAACTTGGACGTTTTCCAAGATACTGCTCCTCGTTAACCATAAATGCCTATCCATTAATGGACTATGACTTTTGGTTTACCCAGTGAGTTCTTGGGTAAAATTCACCAAAGACTCGTCTCTTTTCGATTCACTGCACATCATGTGTGTTTGCCTTGATTTTATTGCCTTGCAATAATCTTAACACATGCCAACAGTGTTGAAGTCTCCCTACTTCATAAACCTTAGAGTACTTGATTTTCACAAGTATCTCTTCAAATGTAGTGACATCTATGACTTAACTTAGAATTTACGTAAAACTCCTAAGTATTCACATCACTTCACTTTGGAATCACCCAAGCGACATTCCACATTACTTTCCCCCAATTTATCCCCCACATTTCAACTATTTCGCCATAGTTGTTGAAACCAACGTTTCCGGTTTGGGAAATGTTGTTCATATACATTCATGTATATGGTCAAAATCATCTCTCTTAGGGAAGAGTGGATCAACATCAATAAATATTCTAGCTCTCTGACAAAACGTCAATATATGCTAGAGTTTACTCATAAGTTATACCCTTGGACTAGGTTAACTCCACAAGGTTTAAGGACACTCACTTTCTCATTGGACACCTTCATACTTTCATGTATGACTTCGCTTACCTTTCCAATTTTGTCTTATGGATAGGTTTGCGTCCCATTGTAGGGTCTTGAGATAGTAGCCGAAACAATGGCTAGCTCTTCTCCCCCACAATTCTACCCTTTGCCAAACATCATGGAATAATCCCATTTATTTTCCATGGTTTTACTTATTGAACTTGCCAACCACTATATGTATCTAATTGTTTACCAATGGTATGATCTCACTCGATTAGCATACCACAAACAATTCAGATTTTTTATTAGAAAAATCATCCAATTACTTACCAATGGTATTGATCAAGGCAACTTGAGACGTCATAAGTAATTCAGATGCATTCCAGTAATGGAAATCCCATCTAATTACTTTCCAATGACATTTCATATACGTAACATGATATACCACAAGTAATTCAAACGAATTTCTAATTCAATTGTCTAATTACTTTCCAATGTATAAACTTCATAAATATACCACAAGTAATCCAGTCTTTAAGTTCAATCAGATCACCTCAATTGAGCTCTCATTCCAAATTGTTTTCCAATGATATACATCTATATATACCATAAACAATTCTGGCAATTAGCTCCACGTTGATAATCATAGTCAAATTGTTTTCCAATGGTATAGTGTACTTATACCACTCAACATTCTGACCTAATGCTTATCCGGATGACAACCATCATTTGGCAAGCTTATTAAATCCCTATAAGGATCAATCACAACTTCATTTTCCTTGCCCTCATGGCATAGGAAACATCAAGTCCTAAACCACATACATGATAAATAAATTATCATGTCTTCACAACTATCACAGGAACTAGAATTCCTTATCGCTTGTAAGCTTTCTTGTAATGCAATCCGTAAACGTGCATTAACCAAATTTCATCTCCAATACATTGGAGGTATACTCTTTAAACTATGTCCAACATACTATGAACATTACGTTTGCAACCATTCCGGCTTAGATAGACTTGACTCACAAGTCCCCACTTGCCACGCTCAATAGGTTTTACACACCTATGATTGTTCATATTCTCCCACTAGATAGTTTATTACTATCCAAACCACCGTTACTTAGAGTCCATGAAGGCCTATCATAAGTACTTCCATCATCTCATGCATCACCTTGAATGAAAAAGTGTCCAAATTAAATTGGTACAATTATCATTCATCCATGCCACATAATTGAGATGGACCAATGCAATAAAAGCATTAAAACTTTGTGGTTAATTTTGGAACCAAACAAATTCGTAAGGTTTTATCCAACTAATTTCCATTTGGGAGATAAGAACATTTGTCCTTTATTCATCATGTAAATACACGACTTACATAAGCACACACATATTAATACCATATGTATATATACACACATACATATGTCTACTCCTCAAAGGAGATTACAATACATATACAAGAATCCTAAGGATTCTTGGGGTCGAAGTCAGGATCAGAGAGGCATTCATCGGTCGCTATGTCGGAGTACTCCTCCTCGTTCTCCGATTCCTCAACTTCCTCTTCTTCCCCCATACTCTCCATCGAGTCCACATGGGTGCCCAAATCATCCACATTAGGACCCATCGAGTACCAATCATAGATGGGTATTTCATCTAGAGTCCAATAATTGGTTGGATGCTCTCCACCAATGATATAGCGAACAAGGAGGAGTACCAACTTGTCGAAAGACTTTTACTTTCCAATGACCTCTAAAGTCTACAAACTGGTTGGATGCTCTCACCAATTACACTGGGACACCCCATCGATTCATATAGAAGATTTATTCTACTGTGCCTTTTTTCTATTATCACACGATAGCATGCAATACACATGCATGATGATCATATGCATTGAAAATTATTATGACAATTATTTAATGGCTCATCCAATACAAGCATAAAAAGCATATGCTACCAAGGAACATATACCAAATATATATCATCCATGCTTGTATAATAAGAGGGACTCTGGATACTTACATGATCAGAATAAGAACCGATCAAGTGCTTCTTTCTTATACCATCAGCCAGTACACCTTTTCTTCTATACTGTCGGAACCAAATTTCCAACAGAACCAAGATCCTTACTTTCCTCCAACGACAGAAACAGAAGAAAAAGAAGAACATATATATATAGCAGGAACTTATATAAATACGAAACATATATACATAAACGCATGATGGTGAATCAGAATAATTATTTATATAGCACCGCCAGAATTGAGTTCCTTTCTTTCTACACCAAATCAACAATTCTTGCAACGTCTCATTTATATATGCATGAGCCAACATTCATTTCAAAAACAAGATGCATGCGGTGCAAAAAACACTAAGAGACGAACACAGTGATCATTACGCAACCTAATTGTGCAACAGTATTTGATTAAGCAAAACAATATACGCGGAACAATTACTAGTTAAGATTCTTTAAGATTGTTGGGAAAATTGTTCACGTATACGATTTTCTTGCAACACAAGCAAACACATAAGATTAAGAAAAACATGCAAAGACACATGCAAGCGTCCTAGCCGATAGAATTCACTATCTCTCCTTAAAGAATCTTATTCCCCTCAAGTACCCAAGGTTGTGGAATGATTCCTCCCAAGATAGAAAGGACGTACCTTTTCCGATGTAGCTGTACCTCAAACCCCGGAAACCATCGAACGTAGCGAAACGGCGAGAACCACACTTGACTCTATTTTCTCTTTGAAAAGAATGCAGAAAAACTAGTTTTGGATTTTTGCAGAGTTTCAGTACCGGGAAAAATCCATGTAAAACTCGTAGTCAAAACAAGAGGGGGTATGGTGCTATTTATAGAAAATGAAGGGATGCATTGAAGGGAGGCAACTCTTCATATGGGTGGTTACACCCCAACCATTGCATTGGTTCGTTTAAAATATTTCAACCATTGCATTGGTTCGGCCTCATGGAAGTTGGAACGGTTTGGTTATTCCAACCGCCACATCGGTTCGGTTCGATTTGGTTCAACTCGGTTTGGTTTGGTCCATTTGGTTACACAAACCAATTTAACCAATTAACCACATATTACATCAAATCGATCGAATTCGAGGCCATGCCTTCCCACATCTTACCAACATGGTACTTCAAGAGACTCTCTTGAAACTTTCCCCTTTTATTTCCATTCACACCACTAAAAATCCCAACAGGAGTGAGATCGTGGATGTGTATTCAGGGAAGAGGAGTAGGTTACCAGGAGATGTTAGGGACGGGTTGCTTCCACCTGATTTGGTCAGAAGATGGGTATCGCAGATGGGTGGGGAAGAAAGAGGGTCCATGGTTTTTTTAATCTTTAATTTTTTATTTTAAAAGCTTAATAAAAATCTGACGTGGCGAGTTCTGGTGACATGGCGGTCGGATTTTATGACGTGACGAGTTAAAAAGGGGTGAATCAGCATGTCTGTTAGCCATGTCACCAAAAAACTAACGCCGTTAACGGAAACTAACGAAAGTTAACGAAGAGTGACCAAACTTGGCCTGTTTTACTAAACCTGGTGACCACTAATGGAATTAAATATTTGTAGTGACCAAACATGAACGTTTTTTATAATCTCAGTGACCAACCATGCAATTAACCCTTTGTTTAATTATAGGTTTTTGTTCTCAAAGTATTTTTGGAAATTTAATACTTTTTTTTAATAGACGATGGGATAAGTGTAACCGGGTAATTCAATGGAAAATTAGGAGCGGATTTTTTTAAAACTTATTTAAGGGGCAAATTCCTTTCCTCGTTAGAAGACAAATGCTTTTTTTCTCTCACAAAAAAACACAAATGTTTTTTTAATAATACCACAGGAAGTGTAACACCCTGAACCTTTTCCCGACAAGATACTGTTCGCTTTGGGCCTCTACACCCGCACGGATTTGCCTTAGGGTGCAATTCAGGGTGACTACCCATATGGTCACCCATCCTTGTTATACTCCACACTGAGCACGTTTAACTTCAGAGTTCTCACAAGAACTCCTCCATTACATCCCAAAACGCGTCTTATCAGTTAAGGTCGGTTTCTTACTTATGAACCATGGATCTCTCCCGTGCTTTGTCGATGTGGGATTTGTCTAAGGTGTTACAGGAAGTGCAGTTGCTGGGAATCTCTTTGCACCAAAAAAAAAAAATTGCTCGACATCTCCATTTTACAAAGCTATCAGAATGCAAGGATAAATTCGGAGAAAAATCATTTAAATAATTAAATATAATATATTAAGACGATTAATATATTAAATACAATATATTAAGAAGAAAATCAAACTCTAGTATTTGGTTAGGGTGTTTAAAACATTTTATTTGTCTCTAAAGATGATTAGATTTGTGTCTATAGAGCATAATTATAAAAATGCATTTATATTGGTCTCTAAATACTATTAAATTTGTGTCTACATAAAAAAAAACTATAGGAGGCATTTGTATTTGTCTCTAGATACTATCATATTTGCGTCTATATGATATAGATATTTGGGACATTTGTATTTGTGTCTAAAGATAATTAAATATTTCTTTATATGACATAACTAAAAGTGACATTTGTATTTGCCTCTAAAGACTATAAGATTTGTCTCCATATGACATACTATAAGTAACATTTGTATTTGTTTCTAAAGGCTATTAGAGTTACTTATAGAGACAAATAACTTCACCAATTGAGACAAATAATATTTTTGACCTTAAAACTTAACTATAGAGACCAATACAGTAACTGTCTCTAATTATTTGCTTCTATAGGCTGGTTTTCTTGTAGTGATCGCAAAAACAATAAAAAGCAGGGTGCTACAACAAAAAATTAAACAAGAAAAAGGATAGGTGGGAAGAGAAGAGGTTTCCCGGGGCTGCCTTTTATAGGCTAAATCAACATTGAAAATCGCAGGGGAGAGGGCAGTTTTCATCTCCCATGCAGCCCCACGTCTGTCAACCTGCATGGCCAACATGATGTGTCAGAAAAATGGGGACGCCACACAAACCGCAGCTGGGGGGTGCGGTTTGTGTGTCGGCCAACAGAACCGCTCATTGAGGATGCGGTTTGAGTTAGAGAAACAGAACCGCAGCCTCAAGAGTCGGTTCTGCTAGGTCAGCCAACAGAACCGCCTAGCTAAGACGCGGTTCTGTTAGGTCAGAACTCAAACCGCTTCCTTGGCCAAGCGGTTTTGTCACAGAAACAGAAACCGCACCCTAAAGGTGCGGTTTTGAAAGACTGGTGCTATTTTTGGAATTTGTGTGGGCTGGGTGCTATTTTTGTAAAAAAAAATTAAAATGTGCCATTTCTGGAAAAAAAATGCCAAAATGTTGTGCTAGTTTTTTTAAATGAAGAAATGTTGTGCTTGCTAGCGACTTCAACATACTTAATGTGGTTAGTCTACTTCTTTTACATACTCATTTGTACTAATTACTTTAGTGTCATATTTATGAATTTTTAATTGAATTCATTAACTAGGTTGAACAAGGTAATGATGATATCTTCATGGCGGACACGAAGAAGGATGGAACATTGTTGGAACACCCTCCACTCCTCCTGCATTGTCCAAAGTTTATGCAAAATGGTCTGCCCCATAGCATCCATCCATCAATGGAAGGATCGTTACATAGTATGTCTAAATTTCCCACTTGCTATTGTGGATGGTCTGATTGAGCTCGGCTAGTGTTTTGCCATGCGTTTGATAGTATTATGAAGAAGGAATTAAAAAAAATACGAGAACATTCCTGGAGATATGTGGGGAGTAGAGGTGACAATTCTCAATCCAATCCACCAATCCAATCCATTCCATTCATTTGAGCCAAATCCAATTGGATTGGTACGTGGATTCATGGATTGGATCCATGGATCATTGGCAAATTAGTTTAGTACCTATATTTTATTTTTTACATTTTGGTACCTAAAAAATTTCATTACAACATTTTAGTACCTAAACTTTTTGCATTTTACATATTGGTCCTTGGTTGAAGATGTCATTTGGATTCATGGATAATCCACAATCCATCAATTCGTTGGATCCAATCCATTTGATCTATTGATCCACCAATCCAATTCATTTGCCACCTCTAGGGGAGCTTAAAACTTGCTCTACGACATATTCCATGCCGATTACCTTTCCTTCTATTCTATGCATGTGCATTTTAGATACTTAAGTATAGAACTGTAGATTGGTACATTTGCATGATTGTGCATGAAATGTCAATTTGCTGAGAGATAAGATAATACCGTAATGATTTGGAGAAATTATTCCTTCTCGCTAAAATTTGAACCAGATAACGACTCCACTAAAGTTCAAGGCCCGGTACGATTGGGCTTTTATCGAATGGAGAGCAAAGCATCAGCCCATCATCCCAGCCCGCTAACCATTCTCTCGTACATTAACCGATTAAGCTGCTCCTACAGGCTACAAGTTCGTTGATCGGAATTTGCCTCCATTTATGGAACACTAATGTTGAGTACGGGATCAATCGCTGTCGAATCGATGGCATAGTTCTTCGATCTTCAGACATTGTTCGCCTTCCAGTGTGATTCTTAAGCAGCGGGGATCACCTTCTCTCTTCATCAATGGTGGACTTCCTACGCTTCCTCCTTTTCATCGCCCTCATCGGTGTGCACTTCAACTGTTTGGCCGAGAGGTAAATAACGAAACATCATTTCGGTCTCTTCAGAAGCTCCAGTTTCGTTTGCTGCGATCGCTCCCCCCGATTTCTTTTGGTCTGATTAGGTTGAAAACGGAGATTCCGCAGTTGCATTTCGTTGTTGCTCTTGAACTTGATCCTTGTTTTCTGCTAAAAAAATGTGCATCGCTGGAACTCTGGCGATTTCTTGACCATGCCGCTAGATTAATGGTGTTCCCTAGCTGGGCGGATTTGCTGTACTTGTCGCATGATAGCATTTTTGTTCGTTTTCTGGCTGAATTGCTTCTTCCAGCTTTGTTAGTTAACTACTGTTTCCTACTGATTAGTGCTTGTAGGAACTACTAGGATCTATTACCATCTCATAGATTAGTCTTTGTATAGCAATAACATATGCTGCAGGTAGTAACTTTGGTAGCCTTATGTCACTTCACTTCTGTTTGTTCGAAATTGTACTGTAGTTTATAGTTTCACCTGCTACTTTTTTGCTTGGTTCAGCCGGAAGGAGTTGAGGGGTAAGGCGGATTTCAACCATGAAACTGTCATTCAGTTAAGAAGCTCCACGCCATTGAATAGGGTTGATCCATCACGCGTTATTTCGCTGTCTTGGCGACCAAGGTCAGGTACTTGATTAACTGAAGATGTCTTATTTCGTTAAAAATTGATAAGCTGAAAATATTAATGTCTGCTTGGAAAGTTGATGTGCTCTTGTACTGTTGACGTTGCTGGGTCAGGGTGTTCCTATATCAAGGCTTTCTGACAGATGAGGAATGTGATCATCTTATTTATTTGGTACACTTTCTTCTCCTCTGAATCCCATTTTAGTCATCTACTATGGAACTGGATGATTCCAAAATGCTTATAATTGGGCTCAGGCACAAGATCCTAAAGTGGGTATTGCGGGAAATGGTGATAATTCCAGGCAGACAGTGAAGAAGAGGATGTTGGCTAGTACAAAGCTTCTTCCAGATACAGATGTAAGTCCTCTTTTCAATATGTTGGTAGTTTTGCTTAGTCTCTATGTGTGCAGATCGCGGTTCAGTTCGCTATGTAGACGCTAAGCCACTGCTACGTTGCCTTTCTGTTCTGCAGGACAATGTTATAACAAGGATTGAGGAAAGAGTTGCAGCATGGACTTTGCTTCCTAGTGGTGCTTGCCTCTTGCCCAGCCTCATCCTACTGTAACTTGTCCTTTGTCTCACCAGTTACAACCCAGTTCAGTGATCAACCTCACTTGTCCTTATTTCAGATAACGGGCAGTCGTTACAGGTCACACAGTATGGAGTCGAAGAGCACACCGCTCAGAACCTTAGTTACTTCAGCAACCAATCCTTATCGACCTCAAATGAGGCTCTGGTAGCCACTCTTGTGTTCTATCTCTCAAATGTGACTCATGGTGGGCAAATTCTCTTCCCTAACTCAGAGGTTAGCTTTCAAAACAATCCAAAACCCACATGATTCCCCTGCCTCCCTTAGTTCATCTTTCGAGCTCATGGAAAACTGACTTTTGACAGGACAAGAGCAAGATATGGACCGATTGCACAAAGAGCAGCGAGATTCTAAGACCGATAAAAGGGAATGCGATACTGTTCTTCAATCTTCACCTCAACACTTCCCCTGACCCGAGCAGCTTCCACTCTAGGTGCCCAGTCCAGGAACCTGAAATGTGGGTCGCCACCAAATTCTTCTTCCTTAGGCCCACCATTGCCGGGAACCCTCCACCTCATCAATCAGGTAGCAGCAGCGAAGAATGTTCCGACGAGGACGATAACTGCCCCGCATGGGCCACTTCAGGAGAATGCGAGAAGAATCCCGTTTACATGATTGGTTCTGATGACTACTTTGGAACTTGTCGTAAGAGTTGTAAAGTCTGCTGAACTAATCTATAGCTAGTTTGATGGTAAGATAGAAGTCTTACCAATCTAATTATTGCGGAATGCTCGACTGTTCTCGAGCTTAAATTAGATATAATCAGCGGAAATTCGAGCTTTTCAGAAGTAGCTAATCAAGCAAAGTGATCAAATTGCCATTAAAATAGCCCTGCAACTGAAATTTCACTGCATAATTTCAAGTATGTGTAAAAAAAAGAAGGAAAAAAAAAGGTTCCTAGTGAATTCTTCTTATTGCGCTTTTGTTGAATCGACAAACAGCAGGACGGAGAATAAAGTAGCTCTGACCGTTCTACGTGGTGGCTGCAGGTTTTACGACGAAGTAGTTGGTTTCTTGACGGAGCACGAGGACTTGAAAGCTTCGATCTGGGATTGACATTTAGCGTAAGCGTAGTTCCCCTTGTTCTCCTCCAAGCACTTCTTCAGCGCCTCCACATCGCACGCCGGAGCAATCTTCTTCTTCCCGGCATCGGCGCCGTCGCTCACGGCCGTCCTTCCTTCCATGCTAGTCTCTCCTTCCTCCCGCCGATTTTGTTTTTCTGGTAACCGATTTGGGAGGAGAAAGAAGAAGAGGACCAGAGGGATGTCAACGGCGTCGTTTTTGTTGAGAAGTGTGTTCTGTACTCTTTGTCTTCGTACCAGACACTCTTCGAGTTAATGACGATACTACCCTCTTATATGGCAGGAAGAAGGCAAATCTGCCACCAGAGGTAGGGCTGGGAAAATAGACCAGACCGTTAGAAAAACCGTGGGTCCAAACCGTACCGCACAGTTTGGTCCGGACCGTAGACCGTGAAGTATGGTCTGGTCTGGTCCATGGTCTGTGTTATTTTATGATTTGATCTCTTGGTCTGGTCTGGTCTAGACCGCGGTTTACCGGACCAAACCGTAGACCCAACTGACTTGTCAATACATGTTAACAACCCATTCGACCACTCTCCAAACTCCCACAACGACACCCAAGTCTCAACCTTAATTTTGTGAATCTCTTCCCTCCTTCATTCACAACCACATTTAACCAGAGAGTAGAGATAATCATATCTCCATATGACATTATGTTAATGTTTATGACATTATCGTGCAAGCTGAGATGCTTTTACTTTGTATCTTTGTTATTTACTAAGATTTAGAGTATCAAAATTATTCATGCATGTTAGGATTAATGTTTTAAGGCAAATAACAATTATTTTTCTTGGTTATTGGTTCAATTTTTTGTGTGGTTGACTAAACAAATTATTCATTTTTCGTTGAGTGTGGTCTATCTGGACCAGACCAGACCGAACCAGACCGCACAGGCGTGGTCTGGACCAGACCGTATAGTCTGTGGTCTGGTCTGTGGTCTATACTTTAGCCTCTCGGTCTGGACCGTAGACCGTATATATGGTCTGATCTGGACCAGACCGCACCGTTTCCCAGCCCTAACCAGAGGAGCGCCAGAAGGACTTAATTTGAAAAACCGCTAAAAAATTATTGCTCGAATTGAGAGCAGCCTAACGGCTTCTTTCTTTCCTCTCCATAAACAAACGAGCAATCTCAAACTTCCTCCCAAACCCGCTTCTTTCACTCCTCCTCACAAGCATATTCACCGTTGAGAATCTCTGTACGCGTTCAATCTTCCATGGCTGCTCCGACTCCCGACCATATCGATAGATCCGCCGCGGCGAGGACGGTCCCGTCGTTGAGCGGGAAGGTTCGTGTAGTAGCCAAAATCCGGAATTCAACGGATTCAGAGGTCTTGCCCGGAAAGAAAGCTCCTGCGTCGTGGATTTCAGTAAACAAGCCTAATGGAGATGCATCTGACCGCGTAAAGGTGACCTTGGGAGAGCAATCGGCCAGGTGAGCCACTAAGTTCTGTGAATTTTCACTTCAGACAATCTTCCGAATGTCAATTTTCAATTGAATTGGTTCTACTGACTATATACAATAAGGTGCTGGTACCCTTCTTCGTTAATTTCCCCATGGCTGCAATTATGGATTCATATTATCCCCAAAAAAAAAAAAAAATTTATGTCGATGTTGCTTAAATAGTTTTATGGCTGGAAATGTGTGAAATGAAAGCCAAAGTTTAATGTATTTGAACTGTTCAATGAATTCAAAGCAGTATACCTAAATGTCGATGTTGCATAACTAGTTTTGTAGCTGGAAATGTGTGAAATGGAAGCATATGTTCAATGTATTCCAACTGTTCTGAGAGATTATTATTATGTTTGGCAGCTCTAGAGAGTGTTATGAGATTGGTTACTGCTACCAAGAGAATGAAGGCAATGAAGAAATGTTTAGAAGAGAGGTGCAGTTTCTATTACCCGAAGTGTTCAACGGTCGCAGTGTCACTGTTGTGGCTTGCGGAGCTAGAGGTTCTGGAAAGACTCATGTCATTCAGGTCAAGGCTTGCTCTGCTTGTCTGCATCGTTCGCGTGTTGTATTTGTTCGGAATTTGTGTTTATAGGTGAGAGAGATTGATGAGTTCGAATGGTCGTTTATTTTCCTCACAGGGTACTGAAGGGGATTTGGGTTTGGCAGCCTTATCTATGGCCGAAATACTACGAATGTCTGAGGAAAGTAACAAGTTCGTTGGGGTTTCATGCTACGAGATCCTTCAAGAGCATGCTTATGATCTGTTGGAACCAAAATCGCAGGAAGTATCAGTGTTGAAAGATGGCCAAGGACGAGTGCAACTCAAAGGACTTTCTTGTGTATGTGTTTCGATCTTTATTTTCCAGTGAATTGGACAGGAAGGTAATGAAGTGTTTGCCCTAATCTTGTTCTTGGTTCTATCTTTTTCAGGTTCAAGTGAAGTCCTTGTATGAATTTCACAAACTATATCGTAGACAAAGCAGGACGGTGCGTAAAGCAAATCAAAAGATAACTCATTCATTTCCTCCCAGAAGCACAAAAGGGTTGATCTTTTACATATCATCACAAGCCGATAAGCTGGCCAGTGCTCCTGTTGGCAAGATCAATTTTGTTGAGTTAGCAGGTTGAAGACCTTAACTGGAAACCCGAGTGTTTCTTGTTTATCACTATCAAAACATTTAGGTCCCTGATTGCATTTTGTTCTATCAGGTTATGAGGATGCGAAAAGAAAAAGTGATGTTGGTAACTTTGGGGAGAATGCTCAAATTAATAAGTCCATCCATGCATTCATCAAAGTGGCGTATTCATTACATGCCAATGAAATTCATGTGCCATATCGAGAGAGTAAGCTTAGCCGGATGTTGGAAGATTCACTTGGAGGGAAGAGTAGCATTCTGATCCTTACATGCTTGGTTGGTTTCTCAGTTCTATACCTCAGAAAATTCCTTACTAATTCTTCTTATAGGTTGTTTAATAACTTACTTTTATCTAATCGCAGAACCCCTTCTCCTGCCAAGACTCAATGAACATGTTAAAGTTGGCTTCTCGTTGCTCCCAGAGTAATACCATTACTACCAAGATTGTGGTGGATTCTGCAAGAAAAACAGATAGCACGGCAAGATCCAAGGTTTTTGCTTCACATAGAAGCAGGCTACCTGGGAGTGCTTCCTCCATGAGGAAGCAGCCAACTCCCTCCCATTTTCCTATTCATGGTAAGAAATCCAGTGGAAATGCTTCTGCGCTGAAAGCAAGGTAATTATTAGATGGCACTGCTTCTATTCTATATAGGGTACTTTATCTTCCTACTCTCTCTGTCTAAGGTTCTTGATTTTTTTGTTAACAGGAAATTGTTTGCCGACAAAGGTCATGAGAAACCTAATAAGGTACTTGCTTTCTTTGACCAAAGGAAAGAAAGATTATGAATTAGAAGCTTATTAGTAAAGTAAACCAACAATAGGAAGAGAGAGATTCTTATTTAGTTAATCTTAAAGACGGAAGACCAATGAACTCATATGCTGTGCAGGTAAATGCCTCTGCAACTGTTTCAAGAACTGAATCTTCTCTACCAGAAGAGGTAAGTCTTTCTGAAGTTTTCTTATATCTCAAAGCTATTGTTCAGACTTCAGATAGAGTTCTGGACCTTCAGGAATTTCCTAACTGTAGTCTGAATTGAAACCCAGGCAAGTTCTTTCATTGGATTGAATACTGGGATTTCTGCACAAGAAGAGGTAAGCTTTGCATATTTAAACAAGCTACTCGCTTATAAACTACTTTGTCTATCATCTGTTTAGGAAAAGCACACTTCGAATTCCATAAAGGAAAATGTGGTTTTGGTTTATGGTTTATCCTTTCTCTCCTTGCTGTCTGTTTGCATTATACCATGGCAGATGTCTGAGACTTTGATATGGTTTGCAGGAAGCTTCATCATTAGAACTAGAGAATACTCCTGCTTCGTTGGAAAATGCTCTTGCTTCCCTGGAGGTACGGGTATGTATAGAGAACTTTTTTCCCCATGTAGAATGCCTAGTTCGAGTTCTATTGGTTGGAAAATCAGCAGAAAAATGTGGTCCAAGAGTGTAACACCAAAAGCTTAACCCAGCCTAGGGTTATGGAACAAACGAACCTCTAATTTTAGAACAAACGATAAGATGCTATTGTAGTTGGTTTTGTAGTCTTTGAGCTGGGTTGCTTAAGAACATAACATCATGGTGGTTTAGGTATCAATGGAGCTCACTGAAGAAAACAAGCACGTGGACATGATAACACCGGCCACTACGGCTTTACCTGTGGTTGCTGAAGGTACGAGACAGTGAATGTTATTAGTTATAATTTTGCTCAACATTTTATTTCTCACTTTTCTGGTTTTTCATGAATTTGTTAACTTTCTCTATAATAGTAGGCCAAAGTTTAGACAAGCATGTGGACATGATAACACCAACCACTACGACATTATCAGTGGTGGATGAAGGTACGAAAAATAGTGACCGTTGTGAGGATCAAATTTTGCTTTACATCTCGTCTTCCCACTTTTTGTTGTCTTTCGTGAATCTGTTAACTTGTTTCTGTGTATTGATAGGCCAAAGTCTCGATAAGGAGAATGACATATCACTGGCCAACAAAAATGAATCTCCACCAATCAGCTTGCGGTTGCAGGAGATCTCAAACAATCTGAAGCAGCTCTACAATTCAACCCCAAAGCAGCTCTACACGTCAACCCCATTGCGCACGGTGATGCCCTCAAGCAATGATCTTCCTCTCCAAGATCAGTTTACAACTGCTTCTGTGGAGCCAATGACGCCCGAATGCAATATAAAAGTGAATAAGAACTTGGACATTGCAAGCTTCTGCAGTCCCTGGGAGAAGTTGAATAGAAGCAATTGCGGAGTGAAGGTTGATCTCGACACCTTTCTCCTCCATATCAACATACCATAAGACTAGTATTTGGTGCTTATACATCATTGTTCAATTTCAGAACTCGCTTGTTCAGGAGTACCTTAATTTCTTCAACACAGCGAACAAGTAAGTGTTGGACCATTCTTGAGCATCTTTCTCAATCTGTAAATGTACTAGACAAGGCGAACTGATTTGTGGTCATTTCTTTTGTCATTATCAGGGAAGATTTGAAGAAACTAAAGGTAACTAATGGCTTTTAATGGTGTCAAATATTTTAGTTCTTATATGAGCATCTTAAATTTGAAACTAGCATCGTTGCCTTGGTGTAGGGGATCGGAGAAAAACGTGCAACATACATTATGGAGTTTCGTGATGAATCGCCTTTTATGGATGTAAGTTATATACATTATGGAGTTCCTTGACATTATTGTTCATTATATGTACTCAACTACTCATGATAAATATAACATGTTTGTTAACAGCTTGACGAGTTGAAAGATGTTGTGGGGCTCTCAGCTAAACAGGTAATGACCATCTCGACTTCGTTTGAATGCAAAATTATCGCATGAAATTGGATATTTTCATTTATCTTTTTCCCTTCTACTTTTTTTATGGACTGCAGATCAAGGACATGGTGAGCAAGGATGTATTAGGAGGGCTTTTTCACTAGACTGTTGTCTAAGACTCTAAGTTACTTCTAGAGTTGTCTTGATTGGCAATGCATAAAGTTGCCATCTTCTAATTTATATTAGAATCAATACCCGCGGCTACGCCGCAGGGAGTATTTGGTTATAGGGCAGAAAATTTGGTTATGGTCATGCAAGCTAACCGAAGTCTTATTCGAATTTTACGATTAATAGTTAATCGAGAATAATAAAATGAAGAAATAGAATAGTTGCAGATTTGGTTTTAGATAACCTTTGGTGTTTGGTGTAACTGCACACCAAACTGCAAAACAAAATCCCCAAATAATCGCAAAATTAAACTACCCCAAAGCCAAATGGCCTACCCCATTAGCTAACCTAAACCAAAAAGAATGACAAATAGGTTAATTGGTTGAACGCAGTTAACTGCAACATAACAAAAAATCATAATATCCGATTCTCAAGTAACCGCAACAACATCAATTACAATTTCTAAAATGACAGCAATTCAATTTTGGATAACCAACCAATTCGGTTTGATTAACATAAAATGAACCGAGGTTCAGCCCTATTTAGTTAATGTATAGACATGTCTAGTATCAATCCAATTCGACCCGCGCATCACCTTAAACACATGGATTTATGTGTCATATAATTCGATTTGGCTAGTGCATCACTTGACCTGAGGCATATGAGTTGCATGGTTGAGAGGGTTCAAAACTAACTCACCCCTAATCATAGTTCATTTTATTGGTCTCCTTTCCTTAAAACTAACGAAAGGAAAGAAAAACAATGAAGTACACAATAGATGTCAAACAACATAAAACAAATTAAAAATTGATAAAAAGGGGGAATGAACATATATTGAGTGAACAATGCATAAATAGGAAAGCTACGCCTAACCATCAGGACTCATATAATAAAAACGGCTTAATTGCATGTTTGGTCACTCGAATTGCTACAAAATTTCACGTTTGCCACTCAAATTAATTTATTCCATTTATAGTCACTTAAATTAGGTTAACATTCCAAGTTTGGTCACTGGCCGTTAGTCTCCGTTAACTTTTGCTGATGTGGCGGTCAACTCAAATAGTTGACAGTTAAATGCATGACGTGGCAATTAAAAAATTAAAAAAATTAAAAATTAAAATTTCCACCTCAACTATTAAAAATTAATAAAAATAATAATAACCTTCCTTTCTCCACCACCAAATAGCTGAGAGTGATGATGATCAAAGGCATGGCTTCCAACTGGAAAAAATGCGCCCTGCCCCTGCTGCTCTTCGCCACGACCTTCGTTCTAGGTGGCAATGGAGTTGCTGCTGCTTCATCTCGCCGCATGTTGGAGCTGCCTGAGCTTCCGAAGCCCGAATTGCCTCCTCTGCCTAAAGTTGAGCTTCCACCTCTCCCCAAGCCAGAGCTGCCCCATTTCCCTGAACTCCCGAAGCCAGAGCTGCCCCACTTTCCATTGTAATATTATGAAGGGTGATGGATAAAAGGGTAAACCGATTGAAATGAAAAAAAGGGTGTATTAGGCTTATTATAGTCTATGTCCTGGGCGCATTTCACTCTCTGCCATTGGCAGTAGTCGAAGCGCTCGTTGATGGTGTAGAGGAGCTTGTTGTCCAAGTCGGCTATGGACTTGAAGGAGAGGAGGGAGACAACGTCGGGTTCAGGGGCGGCGGTGGCCGCAGAATAGAGGAGGAGGAGGAAGAAGAAAAGGAAGGAGGAGATGATGAGGCGGCCGGAGAAGCTTGGGGTTGGGTCGGTTAAGGGCATGGTGGAAATAGCGGTGGTTTCATAATTTTTTCAGAGGAGAGAGCGGCGACGGCGGAGGAGGAGCGGCGGCGCGGGTTTAGGGATAGAGGGAGAGAGCGGGATTGGGAGTGAGGGAGGGATAGTTTGTTGCCACGACATTATTATTATTTGTTGGTAGAGAAAGGAAGTTTATTATTATTTTTATTAATTTTTAATAGTTGAGGTGGAAATTTTAATTTATAATTTTTTTAATTTTTTAATTGCCACGTCATGCATTTAACGGTCAACTATAAGAGTTGACCGCCACATCAGCAAAAGTTAACGAAGACTAACGGCCAGTGACCAAATTTGAACTGTTAACCTAATTTAAGTGACTATAAATGGAATAAATTAATTTGAGTGGCAGACGTGAAATTTTGTAGCAATTCGAGTGACCAAACTTGCAATTAAGCCTAATAAAAACTCTTGGAGAAAAAGGTAAAATTTCAAAAAAAAAAATCATTGAATGATAACATTCAACTTGTTGTGAGTGAGGAAGAGAGTTAGAAGGTTATCGATCGAGCACAACTTTGACTTGGATCATGAAACATACAATGAATTAACTACTACATAGAGCGATTGCATATCCATATGATAAGCGAATTCAACACTAAAAGTGAACGCATATATATGATTATTATTCATAAGCCTAACATGTACAACACCTCACCTCTAATTCACTAAAAAAAATCTCATTGTCCATACAACTTAAGGCACCACTAATCGTTGTCTCTAGCAAGTCCAATTTATTAAGAAAAAATAAAGAACATTCATAATATAATTTGTTGGATCCAAGTTCTATCAACCAGTTAACTCATTGGATACACAAATCCGATCAAGTAAAGATGGCAGCAAAATGATAGAATTGTAGCAATCAGTTATATATGTAGCAAAACTTAACAATTGAACATAGGAACAAATTGATCAAATCCAAAGCAATATAAAGCACTAAGTTTCATGACCAACGACCACCAATAAGACCACGTTGTAAATTGGAAAAAGAAAGTAAGATGTGCACAATGAGCAACATATATTAGCATATGAATTTTCCTCATTATTAAATTCATTCAGGTTTCATTTTCTTGAAATCAAATTGAACCGTTTAAGCCTCTTAATAGTTCATTTTTAAGGATATTACTTGTTCAAATTTTTTCATTTTTTATTTTCGATTCACATATTAGCATATGAATTTTCCTCATTATTAAATTCATTCAGGTTTCATTTTTTTGAAATCAAATTGAACCGTTTAAGCCTCTTAATAGTTCATTTTTAAGGATATTACTTGTTCAAATTTTTTCGTTATTTATTTTCGATTCGATTTAGTTACACAAATCAATCTCCCATCCTAGCCATACATATAACAGCTTTGATCAAATAATAAAGACTTATTCTTTTAATATATTTGGGTGTATGTGAGGGATGGGGTAAGATGACAAACCCTTTCATCCTCACTAAAGTTTAGTTAATTCGTTACTACATTTTCATCAAACCTAAAGAACTTGAATATATCCTCTGTCTGTGGTATCCTATTCGTGATTTTCAATGGCTTAACCCAACCACACAAAGAGTTTTCCTGAGAGTAGTTGACACGTGACTTAATTTGTAATAAAAAGAAATGAATTCATTATCAATGTTTACTTCCCTCATAGCAACAATGAAAAAATCAATTAATTAAGATTTTGGATAATCTGAAGAACAAAATGAAAGATGGCAAAGTGTGCTATGCATAGGATTATCAGTTCGGATTCAATTTCTTGAATTTCAACTAAACGAAGAGTTAAGGTGTTCTTATCGTTTTTTGGTTTCGGTCCCAAACTTTTTGTGCTTAGCGTTTTTTGTTTGGTCAAAACTGAAAACAATAAAAATAAAATACCAACCAATACACAAACACTCAATATTCAATTAAGCCTCGGGTTTTATTTTCTTGAAATCAAATTGAACCGGTTAAGCCTCGGGTTTCATTTTATTGAAATCAAATTGAACCGTTTAAACCTCTTAACGGTTCATTTTCAAGAAAATTATTTTACTCGGTTTTATTTTTGGTTCGATTCGGCTAAACAAAGTAATCTTCCCCTTTGACCAAATGATAAAAGATTTTTTTTAATATATTTGAGTGTGTGAGGGATGGGGTAAGATGGCAAGTTATTTCATTCTCACTAAAAGACAAAAATTGAAATAGTTACTTTGGCAAAAAAGTGTACCTAGCTTTTATATATAAGATAATTGTAGCTAAGCTTGAAAAGTACTAATACTTACAAGACCATCATCATCGTAATATGAAGTAAATAATGGAAATACTTCTATCCTTATTTCACTCCAATCATAAAAACAGTTATTGTGCTTTATTCTTTAAGAACATAAAAAGGAGAGTCTTGGCAAACTAAAAGTGAGCAAGGGTTACATTTCTTGAAGCCTCCTGTGTCTACCGTTATAGTTTGTGCCATCTCTCAGCTCCATGGCCAGCCAATGCCTAGCCTTCAGACAAACTCTTTCACTGCCTTCTGTTGTGTTTAGTTGTCTACTGGTACTTCAATGCAAAGATCATAACCAATCACACTAAGTATATTTGTTGTATCTTTTTAAATTAAAAACATATAATCGCAGAGAGGAAAAAACCCTTCCCCCATTTCAAATTCCCTGCTCCATGAGCGTTTGTAGGAATGGTAGAATAGAGAGTGTCAATTTTTTTCTTTTTCCTCTGTGGAACGGGTTAACTTACCGTACACATGCAGATTTAAATGGGTCCAGGAGTGTCAATTTTTTTCTTTAAGTCCTTTTATTTCTCCGTGGTGGTAAAATCTACACAATAAATAAAAGCCAAATGAGAAAACTTGAAGCCCCATTTCAAATTTCCTGCATCCAGAGTGAAAGTAGGAAAGACATTTTGGTCTTCACAATCACTTTTTTTTATTCATTAAAAAGACACTTACTAGAATTCGAACCATGACCACTTTAAAGAAAAGCAAAAATCATAACCAATCACACTAAGTACATTTATTATATCTTCTCAAATTAAAAACATATAATCACATAGAGGAAAAAACCCTTCCCCCATTTCAAATTCTCTGCTCCATGATCGTTTGTAGGAAGGGTAGAATAGGGAGTGTCAATTTTTTTCTTTTTCCTCTGTGGAACGGGCCAACTTACCGTACACATGCAGATTTAAACGGGTCTAGAAGTGTCAATTCTTTTCTTTAAGTCCTTTTATTTCTTTGTGGTGGTAAAATATATATGAAAAGGCAAAAACAATACTCCTTTTTATTGCTAAAAAGAAAAAAATTGAACAATAAACTAATGCATGGATTCTAATGGACTAATCGCTAATCATAAAATAAAAGAGTTGAATGGGTCTGACCTACACGGGATTTGCCCATAAAGTAAAAAAAATGAACATCATGGGTTTGCCATTCTAAAACAAGCTATTTTCTCTAGCATAATATATATTATGCTATTATTTTATATCTTAGTGGCTAAAATATAATGTATTTTAAATTTATTCAATGGTTCAACCTCGACCAACCCAATTAATCCAATTTTTATCATTTCAAATATATATTATGTAATTATTTGATATCATAATGATTAAATTATAGTGTATATTATAGGAAATCGTTTGGTATTTGTTAGTAAAAAACTAAACAGAAAGATCTATTTGGTTATTTTTAACATTAAAACGATCCTAAACATTTTTAGTTTCCTTTCGAAATTCTATAGTTTTATTCCCGAATAAGTGATGTGCAAATGGCGAATTGCAGTCGTCTCTTTTCTTTCATTACTTTTTATTTTCAAATATAAAGTTTAAAAGTAAAGAATAATTAGAGTTTGGCATTGGTCGGTCAAACATGCTGAATTTCAAGTTTTGGCCCATTTTGATCAAGTCTAATTTATAATCACATGGTTCCCTGATACCCAATAAAATTCTCAATCCAAACCAGTTTGGCAGGTGAGTCCGTGTTTACCACAATTTTTTAGGGATACAGAAACGGTGGTTCCTATCCCAAATCGTGTTGTTCATTCTTGATTTCTTTAGATTTTATCATGGCTTGGCAAAAAACCAGAAAGCACAATGATGACAAGATGAAAATTTTATAAAGCAAATTAATCGGCCAACGGGCCGAATAAAAGCTAGCAACGATTGTGAGATGATCATTTCCCGAAAACCGGCGGGATTTTTATTCGATTTTCTGGAATTCGGTTTCTATAAAACTTACTCCACCTCATCATATTACTAGAAACAATATTGTTTCACAAGGTAACTGGTACTTGATTTTGGTTCATAAGACTGATTTTTGATTCGTTGCATCATTCATGTCTCTTTCCTACTAAAATTCACTATTTTTATCACGTGTTTCCCAAAAAAAAACTATACAACAATAAGCTATACACCCCATTACATTATCAAACTTCATACCTCACCTTCCTCCGGCCAAATGGCCGGGGCCCACGCTAGTGTATTTATAAATACCAATAGCAATTGTTTGCAGCAAGATAGGCTCGACAGTTGGCCGTATTCATTTTTTTAAATTACATAAAAATAATAGTAAAAGTTAGGCAATATAAGAGTATCCAAATTATTTAGTAGTTGAAACATTCAATCATAGTATTTTCAAAAATCATGCTAGTTCATTTACTAAAATCCTTAGCATAAAAGACAGATCCTAAACCAAGGAGCCGACTCCTAAAAGCTTATTCAAATGACACTTCTATAATTCTATTTACTCTTGTTTTTAGAAATTACCACTTATTTTGTTGGCTTTATTTTCATTTTCTTTAGCTAACACTTTGTATTTCGAAAGTTTGGCTAATAATTTAAAAAATTCGAACACTTTTACTAATAATTTGTATTTATCCTAAAAAATTAATATGCCCAACCTTAGACGCATGTCGTCCTTTGAAATCACCCATCTTTAACCATGTGTTGTTGTTATCCTCATATATCACTTACCTATATCATGAGTTCAAGATTAAGTTGTAAATATCCACATACTTTAATAACTTTTAGGGATAATCAAATTATTAGCCAAATACTTCAAAGTTCAAAGTATTAGCCAAATCTTTTGTAACGTATCAAAACATTAGCTATTTGTCTGTTATTGTTAATAATTTGGTAGCTCTTTTATTAATTAAAATACTAAAATTTTGAAGGTTGACTTCCACTTGTCTTTTCCAACCCAATATCATGTTGCCACGTCATTGCTACTAATAAAACTGCTAACGGGAAGCTAATATTTGGCCACATTTGTATTTCGAAAGTTTTGGCTGCTAACTAAAAAATTCGAACGCTTTTACTGATAAATTGTATTTACCTTAAAAAATTAATATGCCCAACCTTAGACTCATGTTGTTCTTTGAAATCACCAATCTTTAACCATGTGTTGTTGTTGTCCTAATATATTCACTTACCTATATCATGAGTTGATGATTAAGTTGTAAATATTCACATACTTTCAATGATTTTTAGGGTTAATATGTTTAGATGGTCCAAACTTTTCACAAATTAAATATCCTGGCTAATCTTTTCCATCTATAACATCGTGGCCTTAACTATGCATCAAAGTTACGAAATTGGCCAAACCCAAGATTTGACCGTTATCTTGGACGGTCAAACGCGTTGACTAACGGTCAATTCGCCACATCACTGCAAAATCAGCACAAACCACTTAAAAATTTTGGTTTTTCCACCTATTACCATTTATCTTTTTTATTTTGAACAAAAGAAGGAAAAAAGGAACGTTCGTTTTTATTTTGAAAAAGATAAATGGTGATACGTGGAAAAAAACAAAAATTTTAAGTGGTTTGTGCTGACTCGGCAGTGACGTGGCACATTGATTGCTAGTCAATGCCTTTGACCTTCTAAGTTAATATTTAAATCTCAGATTTGACCAATTTCTTAACTTTGATGCATAATTGATGTCACAATAGATCGAAAAGATTAATCAGAATGTTTAATTTGTCAAAAGTTCGAGCCATACAAATATATTAACCCTAATTTTTAAGCTAGCATATTATCAATACTTGCAATGTAACCTTTTTCATATTTGGATTTATCCAAAATCAAATCATCAGACCCACGTAGAGAATTGAAACCCAAGTTCTAAATTTGAAAACAGTAATTAAAATAAAAAGTTTCGAGGACCATAAAACATTCAGACCACAAACTAGATTAAGACCTGGCCCGTTGGCCGGATACATTATATCAATAAATGTAAACAATAATAATAATTATTCAAGAAAATTATACTTTTATCTACTACAATAAAAGAGTTCAATTATTTATTATTGAAAAAAAAGAGCATGGATCATAAATATTTGTGACAGGATAACCAATTCATCAACTAACGCAAGTGCCAGAAGTTAAAAAATTATGCAAGGGAATCCGCTCCTAAAAACTTGCTTCATCCACAGCAACAACAACGCCTTCATCTCCGTTCATGACACCTCTATTTTCACTATGACCAATATCTACAATTTAACATTCTCTTACTTCTTTTCCTAAATTTCATTGAAAGGAAAATTTAATGCTAAATATTTTTCAAATATGAAACATAATTTTAGTAAAGTAGATATTACATATTTCAAGTAAAGAATATTGTTTAAGATTTACTCTTACTCGCTAATACATTTTTATCTCTACAATGAATTGCATCTTCTTTCTTCTCAACAATGTCATTATCTTCATAACTGAATATACTACTTCCATCATTAAAAGACTCTTCTTCTCCTAAATAATTGAAAGCAAGAACTTTAAAAAAAACTATCCTCTTGAAACTTTTTTTCATACTATTTTAGTTCTTAGTACATGCGGAAACAGACTTTCCTCTAATCAATTACTTAAACTTTTGAAATTTATTTGCATGGATTTGGAAATAAATGTTTAATTTTTGCAAGAGTTAACAAAACAAATGTTTATATTTTTAGTTGTGGATGTCAAACTCCAACTAAAATTTATTTTGTTTGATGAAAAACTTTGATCGCCCGATTGATCTAGTTATAATATGTGATCTACTTTTTGTGCATTATAACTATCGATCACATTCCACTTCAGGTTGATCGTTTCAAATAAATATGTCTATAAAAATAGAAACTCGTAACCATATTATTTTATATGGCATATAAAGGTTTATTGGGGTATCGAATGATCGACCTTGTGATTGTTCAAGTCGACTAACTTGATGTGAATTTGACATGTCTAACATAGGTGTCGCTTTTTTGTGTTGATGAATAGAAGGGACCTACTAAAGGGGCTCCATATAAATTTTACCTAAAGTTTAGAGTGACCATAGCATTAGCAAATTCCTACTTATTAGCTTATGTTGTTGAATGTTGCTTGTCCATTATTTAAGTACGCTAAAGTAAAATGCTATAGCCTTAAATTAAAAAAGGAAAAGGATTCTACCGAAAAAAATATAAAAGAAGCCCAACTTACTAATGAAATCCTATAGGCTATATCCTTCAACGTCAACGAAATAAATAAAATGAGATTGTAAAAGTAGAAGGACGCTTATAACCTTCCGTGAAATATGCTCAGGCCTCCAA